GCTTGAGAGCCTCTAACACATATCAGGTATGAGTCCTAGGGGATAAAAGAGATTGAAAGAATGGCAGAGGGACAGTAAATGAATATATAATAGGTGGTAATTTTTCTGAATTAGATTCTGATTAGAAACCTGTCTAGGTAGTTTGTACATTTGTAACATAGCAGATAAATAAAAGTAAATGCATTATTTTAGTTAAACATGGTAGACTGAAAGTACATATTTACCTCCCAGTTTCTCCCTTTATAATTCATTCAAATGTCAGTAAAGGGATTTTGTTTTTAAGGTATAAACTCACAGGTTTTTTAAAAACAGATAAGACTGGGGCTCCTGGGTGGCTCAGTCAGTTAAGTGTCCAACTTTGGCTCTGGTCATGATCTCAGGGTCTTGGGATCAAGCCCCCAGGGGGAGCCTGCTGGAGATTCTCCCTCTCCTTCTGCCCCTACCCTCACTGGTGTGCACTCACTCATGTGCGCTCCGTCTCTGTCTCTCTCAAATAAATAAATAAAGCTTAAAAAAAAAACAAAAAAACAGACAAGGGACGCCTGGGTGGCTCAGTCGGTTAAGTGTCTGCCTTCGGCTAGGGTCATGATCTCAGGGTCCTGGGATCGAGTCCCACATTGGGCTCCTTGCTCAGCGGGGAGCCTGCTTCTCCCTCTGCCTGCTGCTCCCCTTGCTTGTGCTCTCTCTCTCTGGCAAATAAATAAATAAAATCTTTTTAAAAAAATAAAAATTAAAAATTTAAACAGACAAGACTACTGCAAACAAGTATAATCAATAGAATTTTGGAAACTAGAAAGCAGATGTACAAGTACTGATTTAAGAGACCTGAAAAAATGAAAGCTTGGTTTTTTAGTAGTTTCTTTGTTTTTTATCTGAGGTTGGGAGGAAGGAGAGCCAAGGAATAAGGAGTACACTTATCATGGTGAGCACTGAGTAATGGATAGAATTGGGGTTTTTTTGGTTTTTTTCAAGATTTTATTTATTTATTCGACAGAAAGAGAAAGAGACACAGCAAGAGAGGGAACACAAACAGAGGCAGTGGGAGAGGGAGAAGCAGGCTTCCCCCGGAGCAGGGAGCCCGATGCGGGGCTTGATCCCAGGACCCTGGGATCATGACCCGAGCCGAAGGCAGATGCTTAATGGCTGAGCCACCCAGGTGCTCCCAGAGTCTTGGTTTTGTCCAACCCTTGGTTTCCATTCAGGTCATGATCTCAGGGTTGTGAGATCAAGTCCTGCATTGGCCTCACTCAGCAGGGAGTCTGCTTGAAATTCTCTCTGCTCCTTCCCACACTAGTGGGTGCATGCACATGCACACGCTGTCTCTTGCTCTCTCTTTCTCTCTCAAATAAATGAGTAAGTCTTAAAATAAAATAAATCCATGTATAAGGGGACCCACGCACTTTAAACCTGTGTTGTTCAAGCGTCAACTATAATTATCTTTAGAGAGAGAAGATATTGTATCTATGACACAAGAACATGATGCCTTTTTTAATTAAAAATACAATAGTAAAAATGGAAATTTCAGAATATAACTTAGAATTCTGATGAAGGAAATCCCTTAGAATATATAGACAAAGGAACAGAATAGAAAACAGGAGTAAGAGATGAAAAAAAGGATTAATCTAGAACATCCACTTCTAGAGAAATAGAAATTCCAATAAGCAAAACAGGAGGCAAGTAATTGATAATGTGGCAGAAAATTAGTGACCGTATAGTATATTTGAATAATATCAGTCATTTATAAAACACCGTAAAACTTCAGAGTACACATTTTAAAATATTCTTTTCAGGTGCACATGGAATGTTCTTCAAGATAGATCGTATTTCAGACTGTAAGTTCTCCAAATTTGGAAGGTTTGAAATCATATAGAGTATGTTCTCTGCCATAGTCAAATTCTATTAGAAATGAGTAACAAAAAGATATTGGGAAAATCCCCAGATAGTTGAAAACTTGACAACACTTCTAAATAACCCAGGATCAAAAAGGAAATTACCAGGGAAATTAGAAAATGTTTTGACCTGGGGCGCCTCAGTGGCTCAGTTGGTTGGGTGACTGCCTTCAGCTCAGGTCATGATCTCAGGGTCCTGGGATCGAGCCCCGCATCGGGCTCCCTGCTCGGCAGGAGGCTTGCTTCTCCCTCTGACCATCCCCCTGCTTGTGTCCCTCTTGCTGTGTCTCTCTCTGTCAATTAAATAAATAAAATCTTAAAAAAAAAAAAAAAAGAAAATGTTTTGACCTGAATGATCATGAAAACATATCAAAGCTTGTGAAATGCAGCTAATGTAGGCTGTGAGGGAAATTCATACCTTTAAATGCTTATATTTTAAAGGTAAAAAGATCTAAAATGGGCTAGCAAACTTGTTCATAAAGGGCCAGGTAGTAAATATTTTAAGCTTTGCAGGCCATACAGCCTCTCTATTGCAGCTCAACTTGTGGCATGAAATCAGGCGTAGACGATGCATAAATGAGTAAGTGTGGCTATGATTCCAATAAAACTTTATTCATAACATATAATTTCACATAAAATCATATTCTCCTTTTCATTTTTTCTACCATTAAACATGTAAAAATGATTTATAGCTTGTTAATAGCTTTAAAGTATCTCATGGTTATAATGTTTATGACTTTGTGATAAGACATAAAAAGCATAAGCCATAAAGGAAAAGCTCAATATATTTGACTTCACTAAAATGTGGAACTAACCAAAAATACTTTAGAGGATAAATAAGCCACAAAAAGAAAATTAAAAAGTTGTTTTAGGCGTGCCTGGCTGACTCAGTCGGTAGAGCATCTGACTCTTGATCTCTGGGTCATGAGTTCGAGCCCCGTGTTGGACATGGAGATTACTTTAAAAAAAAAAGTTTTATACCAGATTGAATTCCAGATGGATCAAAGATTTAAAGATAAAAAATCAAACTATAAAAGTACTAAAAGAAAACATAAAAAACTATTAATGAAGTGATGGAATAAGGAAAGCCTTTTGAAATAGGACAGAAAACTCTGAAGCCATAAAAGATTGATAAATGTAACTGCATAAAAGTCAATAATTTCGGGACACATGGCTGGCTCAGTACAGCATGCAACTCTTGATCTCAGGGTCATGAGTTCGAGCCCCACATTGGGTGTAGAGATTACTTAAATAAATAAACCTTCTTTAAAAAGAAGGTAAATAGGGGCGCTTGGGTGGCTCAGTCGGTTAAGCATCTGCCTTCAGCTCCAAGGTCATGATCCCGGGGTCCTGGGATCAATCCCTGCATTGGGCTCTGTGCTCAGCGGGGAGCCTGCTTCTCCCTTCTCCCTGCTCATGCTCTCTGTCACTATATCTGTCTCTCTCAAATAAATAAATCTTAAAAAAAAAAAAAAAGGCGCCTGGGTGGCTCAGTTGGTTGGGCGACTGCCTTCGGCTCAGGTCATGATCCTGGAGTCCCTGGATCAAGTCCCTCATCAGGCTCCCTGCTCGGTGGGAAGTCTGCTTCTCCCTCTGACCCTCCTCCCTCTCATGCTCTCTGTCTCTCATTCTCTCTGTCTCAAATAAATAAATAAAATCTTAAAAAAAAAAAAAAAGTTAAATAATGTCTACAGAGCATTAACCACCATTAGCAAATGACAGACCAGGGGGAAATACCTGATTTGTACAACAGACAAAAGGCTAGTATATTAAGAGTTACAAATAAGAAAAAGACTACAAAATTCAGTAGAAAAATGAGCAAAGGATTTGGACAGTTCACTTAGGAAGGAAATACATCTCATAATGATGTCTTAAAATGATATGATGTACAAACTCATGATAAGAAACATTAAAACTACATAAAACACTCTTTTTCTTCTATCAGGTTGGCAAAGATCAAGTCTGAGAACACTGTATTGCCAAAGGAAAAGGACAGCTGGTGTTCTCATGCACTACTACTGATGGGTGTATAAATTAGTATATCTTCTTTGATGGCATTTTGGCAGTATTTATCAAAAATCCAAATACAAGTGCTCTGTGATTTACAATTTTACTTACAGGAATTTATCTTACAGACATACTCATATAAGTAAGATATAAAACATTTGCACAAGGTTATTCATTAGCATTATTTGTAATAGCAGAATAGTAAAGCAACCTAAATGTCCATCACCAGGGGACTGATTAAATAAATTATGGTATAATTTGAAATCATTCAAATGCAGCCTTTGAAATGAAGTAGTTCTATGTGTACTGATACAGAATGATCCAGAATATATGCTTAGATGAAAAAAGTACAGATCATTGTATATTGCTACCATTTGAGGAAGAATGTATATTTGTTTATAAATGTATAAAATCTCTCTGGAGGAATATGTGGATCCATGGATGTTTCTGAGTAGAGGAACTGGAAGGCTGAAGGACAGTGACAGGAGGGAACACTTCATTTATTTTGGGATTTGTTTGCTGGCTTTTGAATTTTGGAATATGACTCTATTATCCATCCGAAAGCATTTTTAAGTAATATGAACAAGACAGGAGTGTTCACTGTGATAATCCTTTATGAGTGAAATGCTCAAAATATCCTAAACATCCATCAATAGAATTTGAAAATTGTGGTCAAATCATACATAGGTGAGCACATATGCGCTCACAGTCATACATGAGCACAGTTGAAATAAGTTGATTAAACTTTTCATGTCAACATAGATACATCTCAAATTTGTAATGTTAATGAGAAAGGTAAGTTACACCCCAGCATGATCCCATCAATGGAAAGTTTGAAAATATAGTAAATAGTGTTTTTTAACTGTGATGTTTTATTCTTTAAAAGAGAAATCTGATGTCAGTATGGCACTAAATCTTATAAATCTATTGAGCTGAGTAGGCAGTTCCCATAATGATATTTCGGCCCAATCCTGTGAGTCTCATGGGGACCCAGAGCACCACCTAAACCCTCCTACAGGACAGAATCCTCCTCAAATGAAAAATACTTTTCTCAGTGGCCAGCAGGGTTTCTCTTGTCTGTATTTGAATCTTCTTGTCTTGCAGGGATGTTGGTGGTGAATGTAACATGGAGGAACAAGACATACGTAGGTACACTTCTTGACTGCACACGGCATGATTGGGCACCCCCCAGGTAAGCATTTTACAGCTTTTTGGTGTATATTAGTCTGAACCACCCTAATCAGTGATCCCTTGTGCCTTCATCCTGTTAGAGTTGGATAGCTTTTGAGACACCCAGCTTTTATTTATTTATTTTTAATTTAATTTTTTTAAATTTTATTATGTTATGTTAGTCACCATACAATACATCATTAGTTTTTGATGTGGTGATCCACGATCCATTGTTTTCGTATAACACCCAGTGCTCCATGCAGTATGTGCCCTCCTTAATACCCATCACCGGGCTAACCAATCCCCCCTCCCCTCTAAAACCCTGTTTGTTTCTTAGAGTCCATAGTCTCTCATCGTTCATCTCTCCCTCCAATTCCCCCCCTTCATTTTTCCCTTCCTTCTCCTAGTGTCCTCCATGCTATTCCTTATGTTCCACAAATAAGTGAAACCATATGATAATTGACTTTCTCTGCTTGACTTATTTCACTTAGCATAATCTCCTCCAGTCCCATCCATGTTGATGTAAAAGTTGGGTATTCATCCTTTCTGATGGCTGAGTAATATTCCATTGTATATATGGACCACATCTTCTTTATCCATTCATCTGTTGAAGGGCATCTCGGCTCTTTCCACAGTTTGGCTATTGTGGACATTGCTGCTATGAACATTGGGGTACATATGGCCCTTCTTTTCACTACATCTGAGACACCCAGCTTTTAAAGAATATGATGGTGTTAGGATGAGGGAAGGCACTCTACTGGTCAGGCATTCAAGAAGAATAAATGAATTACGAGTTGATGGGTTGGATAGGGATAGGGAGGAGATCCTATTTAAGCCTTTGTCTGGAATTACCAAATTCTGGCTTCTACCAGTAGTCACCTTGAGACCAAGTCCATGGAGTCTCTCTATGGGTAAACAAATAATCATTGATGATGCTTTTTGATGGTAGCTATCTCTGAGGAGTTTAAACTCAAGAACATCTTCAGTTTTACGAACGCTAGACAATGTGGGTTTCACAAAGACCTTTTCCGGTTGACATTTCAGCGAATGGCACTTTACAGCCTGTTTGTACCCAGTTTGCCAGGTTTTGGGAACCCAGATGTTGGGGAATGATGTACAGTTAGCATGCAGATAGCATCCTAGGAGCTCACAACTTAATGCAGTTCCCACGCTTTCAGAAGTTCCTTTAACAAATCATATTCATTGAAAATGATAGTTACCATCTAGACAGTTCTTCTGGAAGCAGCCACACTGGTTTAAAGTTGTTTTCTCTTCTTAATAATATCCTGTTGTGTTTGCCTTTTGCCAAGGTTCTGCGACTCCCCCACCAGTGACTTGGAAATGCGCAATGGCCGGGGTAGAGGCAAACGCATGCGTCCTAACAGTAACACACCTGTCAATGAGACAGCCACGGCCTCTGACAGCAAAGGGACCAGCAGCAGCAGCAAAACCCGAGCAGGAGCCAATAGCAAAGGCCGTCGGGGCAGCCAAAATTCTTCAGAGCATCGCCCACCTGCCAGTAGCACCTCTGAGGATGTCAAGGCCAGCCCTTCCTCAGCTAATAAGCGGAAAAACAAACCGCTTTCAGACATGGAGTTGAATTCTAGCTCAGAGGACTCCAAAGGGAGCAAGCGTGTCCGTACCAATTCCATGGGGTCAGCCACCGGTCCCCTCCCTGGGACCAAGGTGGAACCCACTGTTCTAGACAGAAATTGTCCCTCCCCAGTCCTGATTGACTGCCCCCACCCGAACTGCAACAAAAAGTATAAGCACATCAATGGACTTAAGTACCACCAAGCCCATGCCCACACAGATGATGATAGCAAGCCGGAAGCAGATGGAGACAGTGAGTACGGGGAAGAGCCCACCCTCCATGCAGACCTCGGAAGCTGCAATGGTGCATCCGTCTCACAAAAAGGTTCCTTGTCCCCTGCCCGCTCAGCTACCCCCAAAGTTCGGCTCGTAGAGCCCCATAGCCCTTCTCCTTCAAGCAAATTCAGCACAAAAGGCCTCTGTAAGAAAAAGCTGAGTGGGGAAGGGGACACAGACCTCGGGGCCTTATCAAATGATGGCTCTGATGATGGACCCTCAGTAATGGATGAAACAAGCAGCGATGCCTTTGATTCTTTGGAAAGGAAGTGTATGGAAAAAGAAAAATGTAAAAAACCCTCTAGCTTGAAGCCTGAAAAGATTCCTTCCAAAAGCTTAAAGTCAGCACGGCCTATTGCCCCTGCCATCCCCCCGCAGCAAATCTACACCTTCCAGACCGCCACCTTCACAGCAGCAAGCCCAGGCTCCTCCTCAGGCTTGACCACCACAGTGGTCCAAGCCATGCCCAACAGCCCCCAACTCAAGCCTATTCAGCCCAAGCCCACTGTGATGGGAGAACCTTTCACAGTCAACCCTGCCTTGACTCCAGCCAAGGACAAGAAAAAGAAAGACAAAAAAAAGAAGGAGTCTTCAAAGGAACTTGAAAGTCCTCTGACCCCTGGGAAGGTGTGTCGAGCAGAAGAAGGCAAAAGCCCCTTCAGGGAATCATCGGGAGATGGGATGAAGATGGAGGGGCTCCTGAATGGCTCATCAGACCCCCACCAAAGCCGACTGGCTAGCATCAAGGCAGAAGCTGACAAGATCTACAGCTTCACGGACAATGCCCCCAGCCCTTCAATTGGAGGCAGTAGCCGCATAGATAGCAGCACCCCTACCCAGCCCCTGACTCCCTTACATGTAGTGACCCAGAATGGAGCTGAAGCCAGCTCAGTCAAAACCAACAGCCCTGCATACTCGGACATATCGGATGCTGGGGAGGATGGGGAGGGCAAAGTGGACAGTGTCAAGTCAAAGGACCCTGAACAGTTGGTTAAGGAAGGGGCTAAGAAAACGCTTTTCCCCCCTCAGCCGCAGAGCAAAGATTCACCCTATTACCAAGGCTTTGAGAGTTATTACTCTCCAAGTTATGCACAGTCCAGCCCAGGGGCTCTGAACCCCAACAGCCAGGCGGGAGTGGAGAGCCAGGCTCTGAAGACGAAAAAGGACGAGGAGCCTGAGAGCATAGAGGGGAAAGTGAAGACGGATGTCTGTGAGGAAAAGAAACCAGAGCTGAGCGGTTCCAGTCAGCAGCCTTCCGTCATCCAGCAGCGTCCCAACATGTACATGCAGTCGCTGTACTACAACCAGTATGCCTACGTGCCCCCGTACGGCTACAGCGACCAGAGCTACCACACCCACCTCCTGAGCACGAACGCGGCCTACCGGCAGCAATATGAGGAACAGCAGAAACGGCAGAGCCTGGAGCAGCAGCGGGGACTGGACAAGAAGGCGGAGCTGGGCCTGAAGGAGCGGGAGGCCACGCTCAAGGAAGAATGGAAGCAAAAGCCGTCGATTCCACCAACTCTCACCAAGGCCCCCAGCCTGACGGACCTGGTCAAGTCGGGCCCCGGGAAGGCCAAGGAGGCGGGGGCTGACCCTGCCAAGTCAGTCATTATTCCCAAGTTAGACGACTCCTCCAAACTCCCCAGCCAGGCCCCGGAAGGACTTAAAGTGAAACTGAGTGAGGCCAGCCATCTAGGCAAGGAATCCTCTGAGGCTAAGACAGGTGCTGAGTGTGGCCGCCAGGCAGAGGTGGATCCAATACTCTGGTACCGACAGGTAACTGTTCTGGGCGGAGATAGAAATACTATTTGATAGCCTTTCTCTCTTCCTCACAAATCAGAGCTCTCCTTAGGTAGGGGGTCAGCAGAATACAGATTGGCAGGAGAAATCTATAATTTTAAGGATTCTTTACCTTTGTAAATCATGTCCGTGTTTTTAAAAAGCACATTTACATCGGTAAAAGTTGTTTTTTCCATTTGACAGGAGAGGCCCAGGTAAGTTAGCTTGATTTGTCTAGGGTAACTTGCAACTTCACTAGCAGAGCCAGGATTAGAACCCAGGTTATCTCAATTCCTAGTCCAGTGTTTCCTCCGCTGTTTGGTTCCTATGGAGTGAGTTCATGGTGATCTCTCCATTTCCTAGAGGGAGTTACTACTCAGACTGAGTTACTTTCTAAAAGATTTTATAGTGGGGACCCTGGCTGGCTCGGTCAGTGAAGCATGCAACTCTTGATCTCAGGGTTGTAAGTTCGAACCCCACATTGGGTGTAGAGATTACTTAAAAATAAAATCTTAAATTTTATTTTTTTTATAGGTAGAGTTAGAACTAAGAACTTGGTCTCACATCGTGCTCTGCTCATGAGACTTAAGTCTTCCCTTACTTCTTGGTATCACTGTTAGACCTCCCTTCTCTGAGCTGGGCAGCACTCATGACTCTGCCCTGAGCTTACTCTTAAGAGGTGAAACAACCTAAAATTCCTTGGAAAGGGAGCAGCTTCTTTTATTCAAAGACTCCTTTCCCCAGAATGCATATTCTCCTAGAGAAGACCCACTGGTGGATTTTCCTTTTCCTTCTCCACATCTTGTTTCCTCTTGGGCAGGGAGGGAGCAGGCTTTTTAAACAGGAGGGCCCAGAGTTCATTCTAAATGAGGATCAACAGAGGCCAAGATTATACCCTGCCCGAGTGTCTAGTATTACCTGCTCTGGTGTTTCTACTGTGACCTTGGGCTTGACATCTCTCTCTTATCTGTACAACACTCAGTGCTCGTTCTGTGATTTTTAGGAAGCAGAACCCCGGATGTGGACGTATGTCTATCCTGCCAAGTACTCGGACATTAAGTCAGAGGATGAGCGGTGGAAAGAGGAGCGGGACCGCAAATTGAAGGAAGAAAGGAGTCGGAGTAAGGACTCTGTCTCCAAGGAGGATGGGAAGGAGAGCACAAGTAGTGACTGCAAGCTGTCCACATCTGAGGAATCCCGCCTCGGGAGCAAGGAGCCCCGACCAAGTGTCCATGTGCCTGTGTCCTCCCCCCTCACCCAGCACCAGTCCTACATCCCTTACATGCATGGCTACTCCTACAGCCAGTCCTATGACCCCAACCACCCCAGCTACCGGGGCATGCCTGCTGTGATGATGCAGAACTACCCAGGTACGCCCTCACCTTCCCACTTGGGCTCCATTAACTGGGAAGGGAAATGAAGCACAGATTTCAGAGCCAGAGTTTTCTTGTGCAGCCCTCAGGCTTAATGAGGCTCGGACAGATGACTGCCCTGTTTTGAATGTGACATTCTGTGAGCAGTCAGTGTAGCCCCAAGCTCCTTGAAGGACCCCTGACTACAGTGTGTGGGACCCCCCCTCCCTCGCTTGCTCCAGCTAGTCTTTCTGTAGTCAGTCTTCCTGGGTGACTGAAGGCAAAACTCCCTATCTACCACTGCCATCTTCCCTCAGCTGGGATTTTTTTTTTAAACACATACTCGACATTTTGCAATGGGTTAGGCACTTTGGGGAATACAAAAGAAATAGGGGAGACTAGTTCCCTCTTAAGGAGCTTACAGCTTAGTTGTAGCAGGAGAGACACATGGAACAAATACAGTTCAAACCAGGACAATGCATGTATTCATTTACAAGATCATGTTCAGCTGGAAGGTTGGAAGACAGTGGGACAGGGAAGAGCTATTTAAAATCAGAGTGGAGGAAAGTCCGGTAGAAAATTCGTTCAGCTTGGGAAAGATAAGCTCTCGACACTGGCATCCGTGAATTCTTGGGGAGGGGTACAAAGTAGGGACATAAGTGTTTTTAACTTGTTACAAGACAGTGCTCCTGTTCAACTGCACTCACTGGTTTCTGTTGTCCAGAGAGCCACATGGGATGCTTCTGGGGCAGACGAGCACTCCTTTCACTCCTCAGAGCTCCCACCTCCCTATCGGAGAGCAGTCTAGTCTTGATATCCTGGTCGAACATTGTAAGGCAAATGCTAAAGTTTGCTTTTCAGAAAGTAAGCTTTTCAAAGAGAGATAGGAAATTGTCTCACCCTGTGGTGTTCCTTTCTCCCCATTACCTCGTCCATCCATATAAAAATAACACTTCCCTTGATGAGCGCCTGCTGTGGGCCAGACACTGCACCATACTCGGTGATTTATGTACATTATCTCAATTAATCTTCCCTGTGGAATAGTACTAATCTCTTCCTTTTGATGGGAAAGAAACTGAAGCTCGCGTGGGTTGTTAATTTGCTCAAGGTTACCCCGCTGGTAAGTCTTGAGAGGTAGATTTGAACCCAAGGTCATCTGACTCCAAATCCTCTCACCTCTCCAAGGTGAATCTCTGAGGCTGTGGCTCTAGAGAAGCTGATTCCCCAGAAGTTGAGGGCCATGTTCCTAATATCCCTTAGCTAGTTGCGCCTCTAGCGCTCAGTTAAAGAAAGGACAGGCTAATAGTTCCGGCCTGAAGACACCATGGTGGGGACGGTCTCCGTCTGTGCCTAGGAAGGCTGATGCCTGCCTGACCAAGCTCACTAAAACAGAGTTTCTTCCACTTCTCTCGTCTCTTTGACTGCTTTATTTCTCCTTCCCCAGGTTCCTACCTACCTTCCAGCTACTCTTTCTCCCCATATGGCAGCAAGGTCTCAGGGGGTGAAGATGCCGACAAGGCGCGAGCCAGCCCCAGCGTCAGTTGTAAATCCAGCTCAGAGTCCAAAGCTCTGGACATCCTGCAGCAGCATGCCAGTCACTACAAGAGCAAGTCTCCCACGGTAAGTGGCACCGGCTGCTCCGGAAACCCAGATCCAGCGTCTGGAACCAGAAGGCGGGCAGGCAAGTTCAGGGCTTAACTACAGTGAGGCCTGACTGAGTCGGCCTTGGCTTCACCAGGCATCTCCACAATTCTTAGGTGCCCCGTGTCTGTAAGGAGTCATAATGTGGACCTGGAGGATTTTGTTGTCGCGCGCGTGTGTGTGTGTGTCTCACAATAGTGCTTTTGTGTCTGCTTTTTTCCAGATAAGCGATAAAACGTCTCAGGAGAGAGATCGGGGAGGTTGTGGGGTGGTTGGGGGCGGTGGCAGCTGTGGCAGCGTCGGGGGAGCAGGCGGGGGTGAGAGGAGCGTAGACCGGCCCCGCACCTCCCCTTCTCAGCGCCTGATGTCCACACACCACCACCACCACCATCTGGGGTACTCATTGCTCCCGGCACAGTACAACTTACCCTACGCAGCAGGTAAGCCTCCTTCCCCATCTCTCTTTTTGACTTCATCCCTGTAGCATAGTAGCATTGCCCACAGCAAGGGACCCCCAGCAAGAATCCTTTATTTTTTCTTGTTGAGCTTCTAATCTGTCCAGGATCTTAATCCCCTGCAGACAGTCATTAAAGCATATGACATTTATTTCCTCCCCTGGAGCTTAGGGGCTCTCAAAGTCCTCTGGAGAATTGGCTTTGATATTCAGAAGAATAAGGACCAGGTGTTCCCATAGCCAAAGAAAAACAAGCAGCTGAAAAATAGAGCCTTGCTGTATATACTATCCATAGCCACTATATCTGGCCAAGTATCAGATTTTTTTTTTTTCTGTCAGCACCCCAAAACTCAGTGGAGCCAGGAATTTAAGGAGACACTCCTCCCATTACCCACCAAGCTGATAAAGAGAAAGTGTTTGATCGGAGGGTTCTGAGAGTGTTACACTAAACATGTCCTCCTTCTCACTCAGGGCTTTCTTCTACAGCCATTGTTGCCAGCCAGCAAGGCTCAACTCCCTCACTCTACCCACCCCCGCGGAGGTGAGAATGGTAAGTCACTTTTTAATTTGGGACAACACATAGAGCAGGGATGGTTGATAGCTGCATCCCAGAACCCCTGTGGAGACTGGGTGAGGGAAAGCTGTGTGGGGTCAGTGGTCTGGAAATGGTAGAACCCTGGCCAAGCCTCTTGTACGGGTCTCCCAGTCTCCGGTTCAACCGCGTCCATCTGACAAGAGCTGCCCTACGCTGGTGTCCCCACGGGGCCAGCACTGGCCTCCCCTGCAGTTCGTTTTGTCGGAGCGCCACCTGGTGGTTGTTATGCCAGCAGGCTGAGTGCCTGGTTCTCTGTCCATGTTTCCCTTGCAGAACACCAAGTGCCCGGATAAAGTCAGCTTCACGGGCCCGGACTGGCTCACCCAAGGAGGTGCTGGAGGTGCCATTTAGACATCAGTTAAATGGTGTTGATCATCCTGTTTGCCGTTCCTACCATGACTGAAGGCAGACCCTTGGCTATCTCACCTCTACCAGATCCCCGGACTCCCTGACCCACCCTCTTCCTCAGGAGCTGGAGAGCTGGTACTTAGCAAAAATATTTATTCTCTGGCCACAGTGTGACTATCGTGGCCCCTGTGGAGATGAAGGCATGGGGAGCAACCAGGGGAACATGGCCTCAGCCCAGAGAAGTCACTGCTCTGTTCCCCAAGACCCTGGCCCGCTGCCGGAGCAGTGCCAACACCCCACCCTCACCCCCAGGGAGGGACTCCCAAGCACTGGGTAAGGTCTGAGGACAGCACAGCAGCCGTACCCCTCTCACCGTCATTACCACAACCACCAGATTCCTGCATCTCCCCAGCAGTTTGGGCCCTGGGAACTAGCAGCATGTGGAGGAATTAGAATCTCAGGAAAGAAATTGGGGGCTGTTTTCTCTGTAGTTGTGAAAACAAGGTCTTCAGACATGAAGACTTCTCCCCTCCCGCGTGAGCACATATACATGCTCAGAGCCTAGCCTGGAAAGGAAGACCAAGGCATTTGCCCCACCGTGGCCTTGGGCTGCCCGTCAGGCAGAGAGCCAGGGTCCCAACACCAGCATAGGGCTCCCCGGGGACACTGGGAGTAAGCTGGAGCTGGAGCATGAATGGGGTGTTGTGAAATAGAACCCGCATCCCCACTAAGTCCTGCTGCTTCTTAGCCCCCAACTCCTTGCCCTTGTCTCTCTTTCCTCCTGACCCCTTGGTGCCTTTCCCAGGGGGATCCCCATGCTGATCGCTCCTTTTCTTTTCCACTGCTTGGCTCTTAAGACTCAGGCAGGTAAAACAGTATGCCCCCCAGCATGGGGAGCTTTGGAGTCTGCCAGGTCACCTTAGGGCAAGGCCCAGGAGATGGGCCCTGGGAGCACCCAGCAGTTCTTAGAAATGTTCTGTCCATTCAGCCAGCTGAGTATCCTCCTCATTTAGGGCCACAAATATATACAGCCTAATTGCTCTGTATACAAGTACATGATTTTATACAGCTCAATCTGTAATCCCGTGTGTGCCAATATAAGCTGTGTTTCTTTGTAACACACGTTTTTGTTTTAGGGGCCACTGGCCATGGGAAGGTAGGTGTTCCTTAGACCCTGGGATAACACATCCAAGCCATTACTCCTCAGAACCCCAGAGTGTACTCAGTGGAGCTGTGCTATGAGGCAGCAGACATTTCTGTGCTCTCCTTAGGAATGCAGCCTACCAGTCCAGCTTCAGGCTTTTTGCCCTGGGAAAGTGACGATGATTTGCTAGCTTTATTGGAGTCACTTCTTCCCCAAGGTATGGGGAGCTTTAGCTCTTATTTTGCTTTTTAGGTAGCGTCCCTTTGTTCTCCTTGGCTATCTTTCCTTGACCGTCTGGATTGAGAAAGACTGACATACACCAGCCTAGGCTCGAGAGGGGTATTTGTGACCAGAGTGCCAAAGTGACCGTTTAAGAGCAAGGACTTGGCTCTGACTCAGTTTGGGGCATGGAGGTGGTGGATAGTAAGCACAATGCCCAGCAGAGGCTGCTCTCCAAGAACCCTGGACCCCTACTCTGAATGGCTTGGGGTCATTTGCCCAAGAGGAGCCCCTCTGATCTATAGACCTTCCCTCTGGGTTTTTGTGTCATTGTTTTTATTCAAGTTGGGTTCTGAGCCCTCTCCCAAAACTCACTGTTTTAGACCACTTAGCAGGCCCCCCAGCAGCCTCTCTTGCCCCCATCATTCCCTCTGCCTCCTGCGACCCCAGACTTCCTATTCCATGGAAGTAGTTGGTTTGGACGCCTTCACCCCGCCTAAACTGAGTCAGCCCCACCAGGGGGATGACTCTGAATTTCAGCCTGATGATGCCCTGCCAGGCTCCTGTGGGGTGGAGCCAAGGGCCCATCTCTGTTCCTGTTTGTTTTTAAATATTGTTGTGTGTTTTGTATCTGTGGCGCTGGCTCACAGCGTGCTCTGTACATATTGTAAAGAAACTGTTGGAATAATTTTCTTTCCCGTTGGGCAGGCCTGGCCCCACATTCCTGCCCTTTCCACGTTATTCTGTAACACAGAAAAGAGGACCTTCTGTATTAGCAGGGCACTCTTGGGTTCTGCAGAAGGGGACAGCTTTTTCTTTTCCTTAAAAAACATTTGGCTCTCTGATCCTTATATCCAAGTCTCCGTAGAAGAGTAGGCTCTGAGCTGCCCAGAGGAGCAGGTCAAAGCAGCAAGGGCGGACTAGCGCTGCCTTTTCCCAGTCCCCGCTCCTCACCCGGCCCCGTCTTCCCTCCCTGAAACAACACGAAGCAGCAGCCGGTCCTCGCCCAGTGCCCAGGGAACGATCTGCTGTCCGCCTCCTGCCGCTCTGTATGGGGAGGCGGCCCCCGGGTGGGGGTACCCACGACCTGCTCAGAGAGATGAGAGCCTCTGCAAGGGTCCTGCCCCATGGGCAAAGGCTGGCAAAGTGTGCTGCTAAGGGCCACAACCCCCGGACCAAGGCTCACTGTGAGCCACCCCTGCCCGGGCCTCTTCCAAGACCTCGCTCGTCGGGGCTCTGCACGAGAAGCTAGAGGGCAGGAGCCTCCCCGCCAGCTAGGACAGCCAAGGCTTGGAGAGCTGCTCTTTAGGGCTCACATCTGCCTCTTCATCCCTCCCTTCCCTGCCTGTACATGTATGTGTACATGTATGAGGCTCCCTTCTCTTACCTCATCCCCTTCCACATGTCCCCAGGTCGAAAGACCACATGCAGAAGGGTTAAGAGGGCACCCCATGAAATGAAATGGTGATTCTTGAATCTTCTCTCCAGGCTCCAAGGCGAGGGTGAGAGGATGTGGCTTGGGGGTTGGGAGGGGGAGACTATAGAAGGGCTAGAGTTACTGTACACGGGCTTTGAGGTCACCCATGTCGCTTATTGTACTATGTACCCTGTCACCATCCCAGTGTCTACTCTCCTGCCCCTATGATTCAACTGGGCAGCTAGCTGGCCCCATAATTCCGGGCCTTTGTCATTTGTTTTACTAGTAGGGCAACCCAGGAAGCTTTCCAGTGATCCTCTGCCATGGGCCCCTCCTGGGATCAAGCCCCTCCCAGGCCCCGCCCCCAGCCCCTCTTGCCCCAGCCCACCCGCTTGCCTTGGTGCTCAGCCCCCCCATTGGGAGCAGGTTGGGGCAAGCTGGAGGCCCGGGCTGGAGGGGCAGTGTTGCTGTTCATAGCTTTTGTTCCATTGGCGTTGCTCTGTTGGATTTAATTTCAGTCTTCCTGATTCTTCCCTTCTGTAAAGTGTACATTACCAAGTTCCTTGTTTTTTATATATATATATATAAATATATATATATACAAACTGTACTCTTTTTGCCTTTGTACATTCAGGCAAGAAGAGAAAATAAATCTTTTTAAGAGACAATCACAAATCTGTGAGGGCTGCTGGTTATTTCTCCTGGAGTTTGCTGCTGAGCTGCCTCCTCCTCCCTCCCCACTTTTCTGTTTTCCCTCAACTTTCCTGATCTTCCTGGTCCTGCTCCATAAGCATCCTCAGCTCCACCTTCCCTGGCTGATGGCCAACTGCTGAATCCAGTGTCCAGACTACCTGCCCTGCAGTCCTTTCTTGCCCAGCAGTGTTTTCCGGACCTGGCCTCTCCTGTCTTCCCCCCTTAGATCCCATTCACCAAAGTGGCTTTGGACCCCTCGGTACCTGGGACCTGTCTCCCAGAGGACCTGGCTTTGGACACTCAGTTGTGAAACTATGCAGCTAGGAGCTCTCCACTTAAGAGTTTTGCACTATTTAAACCCCCCTGGGAGTTAGAACAGATGGTTTTTTAGGAATGAGTGCGAAACTGTCTCCTAACACTCCCCCCCTCCCCCCGCCCCGATTCCAGCCTCCGGAGTGCTCTGATCCAGAGCCCAGAGAATCATTCCTAGCTGGTAGACTCCTATGGCTACCCCATCAGACAAGGGCTAAGGGTTTAGGAGTCAAGAGCATTTGGTCAGAATTTTAAAGGGTGGTACATTCTGACACACAGCCCAACCAAACCATTGTTCTGTCTCTTGAACTTTATCTTTTTCCTCTGATCTCCTGCTCCCCCTTTTTTCCCCTTTCTCTACTTCCTTTTCTTAATTGGCTTTGGAATTGAAGTATATTTTTAAATTATTTGTTGTATTTATTAAATAAAGTTTGTAATATCCCTGTTCTTAAATTTAGACTTAGTTTGCCTTTCACATATCCTCCCTATCCATCAACCCCTCAAAATATACCTTCTAAGTTACTTTTTTAATTGGAGTGCAACTGTTGGGTACCAGATTTCTTTCCTGCCAGTAGTCTTATCTGGCAAAATTTTTCTTTTTTGAAAGGGTTTCCAATTCTGCCCTTCTACCTCTAGCTGTTTTGAAGGGGATCTACCAACAGATGGCAGCAGAACCTCAGGTGTGTTTCCTGTCCCCTCTGCTTGTTTGAAAGACTAGTAAAGGACTGCATTTTGTCTTGGTTCTTTATCCCAGTCTTGTAGATTCTCTGGGCTTGAGTTTACCATGATCCTAAACTGCCTACATTAACTTGGCCATTGTCCACATTCACATGGACCTCTACTGCAGGTGTCTCAGTAGTGACCATTTTCCAGTCCCTGCCTTTACGGTGCCTCTAGGGGTTAGCTCCTCAGTGGAGGACATCTTCGAGTCCTTCCTGTTCCAGCTGAATGTCTAGGCCCAGACCTTCTAATACTGTGGAAGGTGGAGGTGTTACACTTTTAAAAACCTGGTCCGCTGTGACAGGTCCAAGGTTAGTAACCTGGCCTGGTGTGAAAACACAAGCTCCACACAGGACACTGTGAAAATGGGCCAAAGACTCAGAAAAACTTAGGACAGCCACAGCTATTGACTGTTCCAAAGTAGATCATTCCAAAGCTGTAGGAAGAAGAACCTGCCCAGCACTTGGGAAAACAGAAGCAAAAGGAAAAAAAATTGCTGTTGTAAGCATTTAATTAACCAATTAAAAAGAATTTAAGGGGCTATCTGGAGTTCAAGCCCCATGTTGGGTGTGGAGCCTAGTTTAGGGGAAAAAAAAATTCTAGCTCCCTATGAGAGCTTATCAATCAGGCTGGTGGTACAAGGGGAATGGCAGCCACACCGTCCTAGGGAAGGTGTGTACTGCTTCCTTCAAACACCTCCAAGAACGAGAATGTCAGGCAGCCTATGCAAAAGTCAGAACTCAGTTTCAGGACCCAGCCTTCTACACAAAAGGAAACACTGAGAACAGCGTGGATCCTGGGTAGAGCCTCTATTTTGGATGAAGCTGATGTGTACATACCTCTCTAGGGGGTACTGGCAGTTTGTCCCAGAGTCCTAGCAACCATGTTTTGCAGTGTAATATGGCCCCAGAGGCTTCAGCCGGTTTATCTGTCCTGATGATGCACCGCAGCTTTTTTCCTGAGAAGCGCGTATCAGACCCCTGCTACGTTACGCTCTAGACTCAAAAGAGTAGTGGTAGAAAGCCGGTCCTGGTACAGGAATGAAAAACAGACCAACCACAACTTTAAATCAGTTTATTGACACAGTAACACAACACACTTGCCTCCCTGACACCCCCACCCCCATCTCACCCAATCTAGATCTCTCCCCCTTCCTCCCCCCTTAGAACAAGCTGTTCAGTGAAAACAGAAAAGGGCAGGCCACTTCTATACCCTCAGTCCCACCCCTAAGCCCTGTGGGGCAGGGGCTCAGGCACTACTCATAACCTGTTGAGACAGAGAGAGGAGGGGCAGTCAGCACTGTACTCAGCCAGGCAGAGGCATCCAGTCCCTAAGAGCAGATTCCCACACGACCCCCAGGCCCTGAGTTGCTATTCCTCTTCCTCTCTGCTCTTTTGTGACCCTAGGAAGGAGACACCTTGGGGCCTGGGCCTGCAGCCAGGAGCAAGAACTGGCTTGATTTGAGAATTGGGAGTTTGGCTAGTGTTTTAAGGCCCAGGCACCCCAAAGAAAGCCCTGGTGGTGGGAGTGAACTTCAATGCCCCTATTTAAAATGCACTGATAACATTAAACAGATTAAGCCAGCTTAACCAAATGCCAGAGTAACACTAAGCTGTAAAGAAGGAGGGGGTCAGACCTGGTTTCTCCAGGCCAGACACAAACGCACACAGAGGAGTCCAGGTGGAGTGTCGAAAAACAAGGACACAGCCCAGGGGCCAAAAAGCCTATACTCAGGAGTCCCTGGGTTGAAAGGAAGCAAGAAAAGAAAATACACAAGTCTTAAAAACCAAAAAAGAAAGCCCAACAGCAGGGGAACCTGAGCCTGACAGTGCTGCCCACCAGCCCTCCAGGCCTTGCCCCTGGACCCGGACAATCCCTCCCCCCATCTAGGCAATGTCCTCCCCTAGGCTAGACAGAGCACATCACACAGCGCAGTTTAAAAAGCTTCTAATGCCAGTTCATAAACATCTTCATTTACTATTGGTGATTACATGTGAATAATATGTTTATACTGTTCTTTATGGAAAACAATCTCAACGAGTCAACTCCGAGAACACAATAGGCAACCCTCACCCTGAGCCCCTCAGCGTCCTTCCCTAGACAGCAAGGAGCCCCCTCCTCTGTCCCAGGGCTGCCTAACTTCCCCTCTTCCCCCACTGTGGCTCTTGGGCAAAGCATCCTCTATGACCATTAGTCCTCATCGGACAAGTTCTGGTCCAGGGGGTAAACCATGAACATCACATCTGGCCGAGAGGGAACACAGGGATGGCCTGGACGCACAATCTCAAAGCCCAAGAAGCTGAAGGTCTTCAGGAGTGGAGCTGCAGAAGAGTGTAAAAAGGATTCTGATAAGAAACACAAGGGTAGGTTCAAACCAAGGGAAAACAAAAAACCAAGATGGAATAAATAAGCACGAGGCCTTTACTAAAGACCCTTCGGGCACTCCCACCCCTGTGATTTCCCAGAGTTTATATGGCAAATTCAAGAGCCCTACTTCACTGAACAGGGAGCCCCTTTTCCCCTCACTACTTCCCCACTGTCTAGGCAGTAGGTCTCAGGCTACTTTGATTCCTCACCTCTGTCTTCCCGGCCCTTCCTGAA